TGCGCAACCATGGGTTTCCATAATTTTCGAGCACAGATTGTTCACTAGCGCGTGTGACCCACCATTATTGTTTGCGCGTCACGTGGAACGTGTGCTGTCGTGTGCTAGAGTGTGTTTTCTTCGAGATGTCCTACCTACCATCGATTGCGTTTATTAGAGTCACAATGTTGTGCGTTGATTAGTTACTTCGTGTTATATTATTTTTCTTGTTTTACCTATTTTGAATGATGCGTATTATTTTACTTTTCATATTTAAAATTTTCATAAATAATATTTTATGGCTTTTCCTGCTGTTTACTATCAAATGAGTGGTTGAGGGAAACACCAAAACCCAACATGCATCAAAGGCGACCAATAACCATTTGCAAACCGCACATGCACTCAGCCGATCGCGCGCGACAAAAAGAAAAATTCGAGTGTTCGGCAAACAAAAGAGGAAATCAAGAAAGTAAGTCCACCTAAAATGCGAGTATGACTTTCTTAATATTAGCAATTAAATAAATGCTCCCTTATGGAAAACAATGATCACTTACTGATGAAATATGTACAGTTTTATAATTATTATTTTTAGGTTACATTTCGTGCACCTCAATGTGTGAGTTTTCCTTATTCACTAAGGGGACAATGCAGGAGATGAAAGCCTACAGAATATTCATCGTTAGCATTTCTTAGTACAATACATAAAAAGAATAACAATCATTCAGAAGTCTTGTAAAAATAAAAAAGAAACTTTCACGAAGTATCCTCTCAGCGCACAACAAGGTGGCGCAAAGGAGCGCAATCAATGGTATACAATTCAACCCATTTTACCCATAGATAGTGGAGTTGTGGGTGACAAGCAGCCCCATCTACGAATATTTCAGGTAACGGGCGAGCCACTAACATAAACATTTTTTTCGATTGATGAACTTCCATTTAGTTAACGAGTTATAAGGTTGGGTGTGTGTTTGTTTCTCTGCGTAGGGTTTTGCGTCTAGCTCCCAGGGCGTGTGTCCTCGATTGCCTACAGCCAATCAGTAAAGTGGTGCAGTTTTATTTGCTACCTTTTGCAAGACGAGCATCTCACATGACGAACCATGTTCGAGCAGGAATCTGAGTGCATGCTGAGACGCCGTGTAAAGGAGGATATTGCAGAAACGTCAAGAAATATAGAGGAGGA